CAGTATTTTAGTTTTACTTTTATTTATTTTCATACAGTACTGATCTGTCAGTACCGCTTCCATTTTATTTAAAGCTATCTCTAGGTCCTCCTTGCTAGATGCTAATACTGCTATATCATCTGCAAATCTAAGCATACTAATCTTTTGCCCTTGCACATCTATCCCTACAGTTGTACTGTCTTTAATGATGTTGATCGCATGATCGCGTCTTCGATGTATAGATTAAAAAGTAGCGGTGACAGTGTGCATCCCTGTCTGACTCCCTTCCTAATATTTACTTCTCTACAACTGCCTGTTGCCCTTTACACAAACTAAGTATCACTCTTCTATCTTTGTAACTCATCCCTATATTTTTAAGTATATTTAACATCTTGTCCTATTTAACATTGTCAAAAGCTTTCTCTAAATCTACAAATCCTATGTACGCACTCTTTCCTTTTTCTGTCGTTTTCTCTATTGTTACCCGTAAAGCTAGAATGGCCTCCCGCGTTCCTCTATTTCTTCTAAACCCAAATTGATCTTCCCCTAATAGTTCTTCTAAACCCAAATTGATCTTCCCCTAATAGTTCTTCCGCCCTTTTTTTCATCCTCCTCTGTACAATTCCAGTTAAGATTTTTGACGCATGGGAAGATAAGCTAATTGTTCGAAATGTCTCGCAGTGGGAAAATGAAAAGTGTGAAAAGTGCAAAATAGGAAAATGAAAAGTCAAACCTTTATGGAAACACCTTCTTAGGCGTCTCTGCCATTCTGAGAAATATCTTAAGCATAAGCTATCAAAATCTGGCAAAATTTGAAGCATTTTACTCACTAACTAACAAGAATTCATACAATTCATCCAGTTAACAAAACCTGTTGACACAATACTTACTGATAATCCAAAATTTCGAAATTTAGAACGAGGGAGGTCTTATAGCTCAAGCGAAGAAAAAAATAAGACACTTAGGGCCTGAAATTGCACATAAAATATTTAGAAATCTAAAACGGTTTTCGACACTCAAGATGTCAAGTCGCGTTTTAGGTTTATAAACATTTAAAGTGGAATTTCAAATTTTGAATGTTTTATTAACTTCCCATTAGGAAGTTATTGTAATTGGGTCGAAAAGTGAAATCGGAATTTTCATTATATTTCCACGTTTTAACATATTAGTAGCATGCTAGCCAATTTTTTTGATGATGTGTGTATGTACGTACGTACGTACGTACGTACGTACGTTCGTATGTCAGCATTTTTTTCGTTTTCGATATCTCAAGAACGGATTGAGATATCGCCCTCAACCAAAATTTTTTCGAAAGATATTATCATAATGAAGATCTGAAAGAAATTTGAACGAAATCGGTCAAGCCGTTTTTTTTTTATAAAAAAAAAAACGAATTAATTACAAACAATTTAATTAAAATACGTTCTAATCTAATCACAACAATGAAGTTACGGAATCAATAATAACGAAATATCATTATTCAAGACAGGGAATAACATATTATAATAACATATTATAATAAAAATTTGTTTATAACAAAATGAATTGTTATAAACAATCGATAAACAATAAAAAATAGTATTTACCAATTGACTGATGCAAGTACTCTATCAATTCGGTTTTCTCAGACGAAATACTGTTTCTTATGGGTTTATAAAATGACGAACTCTCAAACATTGTTTGTTATTTATTATTGTGCCGCGTTTTTTTCAAACTTTAGAAACGAATGTACTTTACAATAACTGTATTATCTAATGGGAAGTTAGTCGTATTAGCACCGATCAAAGTGTGCTCAGACCAATTTTTTATTTTACTTCCACAGACCTCCTTTATTTTCTTAGACAAGAAAAGAAACAAATCCAAAAGTTGGTAATTTTTAATTCTAGTATGTAGAATTTTTACGTTACAACTAATTAATGATCCTTTTTCATTCGGCGTTTGGATGTTTATTAGACTTTACTTTATTATTATTGTTATTAGTATGAATTTTACTTCCACAGACCTCCACCACAATTTTCTTCCAGGCATGATGGCAATTTCTTGGGAAAACTTGCCCAAGAAGGATATGCCTTCCCTCCTTGTTCCATACATTTACCCATTTTATTGAAAATTGCTTTACAATGACCTACTGAATGGATTTAATAAACGTTCAATTCAAATGTATTTATGAATCTAAAACTGAAAATTGAAATCTCATACGATTGAACTGATGCTGTCCTGATACGGGTCTAAAGGTCGAGCTTCGTCTGAATTTGTGGAAGAACAAAAATTGGTTTTTAAACCCCCTGTTCACATAGCGTTGCTTGTGCGCGAATTTTTGGGCAAAAACAACACACTAACAATGCCGCAGCCACCGTGTTCCCCAGATCTGGCCCCCTGTGACCTTTTCTTGTTCTCAAAACTGAAGAGGACCACGAAAAGACGACACTACGCTACGATTGAGGAGATAAAGACGGCATCGAAGGAGGAGCTAAACAACATCACAAAAAAATGATTTTTTGAAGTGTTTCGAGGATTGGAAACAACGTTGAGACAAGTGTATAATATCTGGTGGGGATTACTTTGAAGGGGACAAAATAAATAAATAATTTTTGAAAAAACAGAAATTCGCGATACTTTTTGAACAGACCTCGTATATTGCTGGTGAGCTTATGCTAGGTGCATATAAGTCGGTTGTATAGTAGAACAATTAATTTATAATTATAACTTGTACAATTTGTTTTCAACACTTCTTGACACTCTGGCAAAAATAATTGCAAATAATAGTCGTTGTTATCCAGGTCGAATATTATTTTAACTGCACCGGCGATTAAGTATTTGCATTCGCTAATAGAAATTATCTTTGCGGCAAAAGTGTGAGAGGTAAAATAACGATTGCGTCGGGACGAAGTACCCAAATAAGAAAAACTAATTGGATTCTGGAAGAGAACGTTAGGTGCTTTCAACACGAGAAGTAAAATACAAATTAATTCTTGAATAAGATGAGTTCGAAACAAGAAACGTTCCATTATTTCCGAATAAAACCACCAACGAGAGAAGACCAAGAAGACAATCACTGAATCAAAACAAATTATCGATTTAAATTATATTTCAGTGAAAACAAATAAATTATAGGATGTTTTAGTACCCTGTACACCAATCACATTAAATATTTTATGAAATGCAGACGTCTATTTTTCATCACCATCATAAAGTCGTCAGTCCTAAGAGTGATTGCACACGCACCTCCACTCTTTCCTACCCTGGACTAATCTTCGTATTTACTTGAAACTAGAACATCCCACATTCATTACTACCTATTTGCAAACAGTAAGCGAATATAGGCCTACCAGTACGTACTACAAGCGCCTCCTGTTTCAGTTTGTACTATACTTCATTTACTTTCTCTAGCGATGGGCCCCTTCCAGTGTCTTGGATGCGCGCTGGTAAAATCGTAGGTAGGGAGAAAAAAGCTCATTATACTCTCAACTCTTGTTCATTAAACATACTTTTTCATACAGTACCTGCCAAAACTTTTGTTCAATCATGAATAGTAGTGCGAGTCGAAAACAAGCGTTAAAGCCTTTAATATGTCTTCAAATATAAATAAACGTCTTGTTGATATTTTCAGTANTGTCGCATTCAGTGTGACATGTGATGAATAATCTTGTTAATTAGTAGAGAAGTAAGTAAAAATGATTTCTCAAAGTTTATTAAACTCTTGATGAATTCGTTTCGATAGTTTTGTTATTATTCAAAAAAGTGTATGCAACTGTACTGTAATAATGTAAATATAGTTTCAATTAGCGACAAATTTTGAAATTAAAAAAAAATTAAAAATGTTAAGTTGAACAGGATTCTAAGGAGTGATGTACAGAATCCATAATATTTTTAAAAATAGATTCTTTGATGACTATTTCACAGCTCGATTTTTTTTTTCAAAAGAAAGAACACAGATAGGAGAAGCCCCTAAACTGCCACTTTAAAATGCCTTAGTAGAGTCATGTCTATCGTTTGAAATACTTCAGTAACAGCAAATACCCGTTAGATGGCCACGCATTGCCTCTAATTGATTTTATTACTGACAAACGTGAACCTCTTCGAAATGGTATTAAATTCAACACTGTCATATATTGTTGTTACCAAAATTGTTCCATGTGGACTTAGGGGATAGAAACGTAAAAAAAAAAATATTGACTATTGTGTCAAACTTGTTTAGCAAGAAATTATCAAATCTTAGACAGATTGAATGTCATAAAAGTAAAGAAAATTGTTTCAAAGTTGTGTGTTTAGTTGTAGTAGAGTAGATGCACCCTTTTAGATGCCCGTAGAATACATGTAATTAATGCGCATGCGCAGCCACAGGGGGAAGAGGGAGGGTTTCACAATTTTTCATCTTATATTACATTGCCACTTACAGGATTATATAGGACCTGCCTACTTTATTTTGTTATCCTCTACCACACGAACATACTGCCTGGTAATAATTGGGAGATTGTCAACTTCTACTTTATGTCGTGTGCGAGTGCATTTCGCGAGATTCCGAACCCCGTTATTAATATTCATGAATTCATTCGATAAGGGCTAAATAATGTAACGCATGAAAGGTATATGTATAGATTAATAAAGGCACTTACTTTCTTTGTACTGCAGCACGTTGGCGTGTTTTTCGTGAATCACTACACAGCGATAGCACGCCCTCTTACTGAAACAAAAATTACTCGATCAAGCCAAGGAAATAAAGTAATTAGTTTGTGACAACGTTTTCAAATTATCTTAATTAGCTATTGGACGACACAGAACCAGCGTCAGCACCTAGCAACAACACAAAGGATTTCCTGAAAACGCCATCCACTATCGCCAATCAGACGTTTCCATCAAAACATCTTTTTTTGTACCCACTGGTTGAAGTGTTTAATTATTATCCAAATTAAGTTTATTGAATACAATAGATATAAGGGTTGAATCGAACAATTAAAAGAAATGCGTAATTAGAACGTTTAAGTTATTGGTCAGAATGGGTACGACGCCATAAACAATTGAGGCTAAGGTTCGTAGTGTGTGAAGTTACAAAAAGTATTTTTTTATAGAATTTATCCATTTGTCATAGGAAGTGGTCCCACCAATATTTTTCGAGCAAACTTTGAGGGTAGAGGGATGCTCAAGAGCGCCAAAATTTGAGATCTTTTTTATTGTTTTCAGCATAGCCTACAATCGATGAAACACAGTGTAATGAGCATTTACCCATGTCATTCACATTCACTCAGTAGATAATAATTAACTCTAACAAATTTTATATTTGAATTTCCTCAAAATATTTGTATGAAAATCAATATTTTCGAATATACTGAACCAAATTCGATACTCAAACTAAATTATTCATAGTGGTGAAAGGCATTTACCTATTTGACATTATAAGAAAAAAGTTAAATTTGCATTCATTTATAGCTAAGAAAGTAACATCACAAAATTGTAGGCATCGATTTCTAAAATCACCACGGACCACCGATTTAGTCCACTTTGAAATTTGAAATTGTTTACGGCGTCTTACTCGTTATCGAAACTATCTCGATCTTATTAGATCTCATCAGCGCTTCATGAGCAGTCTTGACAAATTATTGACTAAACCGAAGAAGCTCCTGATGAAGAGCGAGGTGACTGTTCCTGGTTCCTATGGATAAACGAATCTTCGCAGTTAGAAATCCAATTTTTAATTGGATTTTACAGTTACTAAGAGCATCTAAATTTTATAAAAGAATGTGTAAATATACTCACTCATCTACAACTAGGAACTTATCTCCATCAGAGTCTAGGCATCGACCTTTGCTGCTTAGCCGAGGTCCATCAATAACAATGGATTGCCGAACGCCAGACTGAAACCACTCTCCCTCCCATCGTTCGGGAAAATAACAAACCCCTGCAACGAAACAAATTGCTTGTTAGATATCTTGTATTGCGACCGAATTGAATTTCGTCTTATCCATAGCAGCGTATAAAATAAATAAATAACAAAAAGGGACGAAATAATGGAGAAGAAAATGAATACTGCTTTTATATTTATCTATGGATTCCATACCGCGATATATAAATGTGAATCATATGATAATCACAATTTAAAACTACTGTACCTACTGCAAAACTAAAACATCACATTATTAGCCCTACATGGATAAACGAGACGAAATTCCGATATTATAAGCCCGAACACCAAAAATGTATCTTACCGTAGACAAACATTTTCAGTTTTTCTCCAGTCTCTCAGAGTCTTTTAGCGTCTCTAAGAGCGTCTCTCAGTCTTTCACAGTCCCTCAGTTATTGCCTAGGTGTTTTTATGGATCTCTCACAGTCTCTGTATGAGAGACTCGAACGATAAAATTGTTAATTCAGAGATTCGAGTCTCTCACAGAGAGACTGAATGAATAAAACTGAAAAATTGGGA